AACACTTCAAGACTGTCGAGATCTTTTTAATTTTTGTATCATCAAGACGGTCAAGACTCACAAGACGGACTATTGTTCGGTGTTGTTGCCAAATCGTCACTTCATGGCTTGGAAATAGAGGGGGCTATTCCTCTAGCAACTCGAGTTAATAGAGTTGAGGTGCTAAAGACAATGCTGGAAGTACTGTTGCTGCTGGAGATACTACTTATTCCTGGAGATATTTTGGCTCGGGAAATTCTGCGGCCTTGAAGATACTACGGCCTGAAGATACGAAGATGAGATTACTCGGAGGAGTCATTGGGATATACTTGAATATACTTGGAGGTACTTGCAGCCGCCTGGAGGTATTTGTAGGTACTTGGAGCTACTGATATGCTATTTATCACCAGCATAATACGTATTAAAGACAACTAGGTAATACTGAGTATAACAAAAAAATTAATCGACACAAGGTTAAATTTTAAACAAAGTGACTTGCTTCACTGTAGCGAAGAAAAATACAGAATTACTCAATTCGATCACCGCTAACCATGGTTTAGAGGTTCAGACGGAACGGCGCACACTGGAGCAACAAGCCATCAAAGTTGGCAATAAATCACAGACTCTCTTTATGAATTTGTAAGTTAAATATTGCTTTGTAGAGGTGTTAGTATTACAAATGAAAATACATAGAAGGCCCTTAAAGTGTTTGAATGCTAAAAAAAAAAAAAGAAAGTTAATAATATAATATATCAAAATTGTATATTCTATTGAGCCCTCCATGTATTTTCTTTTGTAATACTAACATATAATAAAATAAAAATGTCATGGACCTAATGAGACCTAAGTGCAGCGTGGGTAATCCACCCTCCACAAGTTAAAGATACAGGTAATAAAAATGTAATATTATAATAATTTCATTTAGAAAAGGTATGATAATAGTAATCAAATTTCATCCTCTTTAGAATGTGATAAGACATTTTCTTCATCGTCTCCACGGTCATCATCAGTGTCATGAATATACCATGGCTATGAAGCTAGACGAGTCCAGATTTAAACAAATCTACTGCTTCTTTAGGAAAGTGCTGCAGGTTCTTTCTTTTCTAATTTTCGTTTGCTCGTGATTACAAGGTCGAAACTAAGTAAAAATGAATTAAAGACGTCCTCATTTGTTTTCTCTGTTAATTGGTCTATAGGCAATAAAGCAGAAGATATTATTTCAGGCCCATGTATAAAGTATTTGTGCAAAATAAACTAGCTCTAAATCGACTCATATTTCAATTAGGTTCGCCATCCTGGAATTTAAAATTTCCGCCATTTTAATTTAATGGACTGAAAGTATATTTACATACCTACCAAATCAGACCCATTGAGTTCAAATCGGTCAAAAACTAAAATAGCAGCGTTGCAAAGCATAATGATGTGTTATTATAAGCTTCTATGAAAACATAAAACCAGATAATTTTGATTGTCTATATCTTACGATTGAATGAACCAATCGTGCTCGAAGAAGTCTTAAAATAAAGAAAATAGGTTAGATATTTAACTTTTGTTGTTAGATTTTATATTTAATTCATAATTATTACGCAAAACGAGTTTTAAATGGGTTATTGTTAGACTCGTTTTTTTTCTTCAATTAGGTCATCTTAAATTTTACATTTCTAGCATATTTAGTTGCCT